TAAAAAATTCCATTTCACAATAAATCCCAGAACTTTCCAATATAAATAAAAACTCTGGAATGACATAAAGTAATTCAAGTTCAATTTCTTTAACTTTACAATCATTGTGCTACTGATTGTTCATTATAAATCCATGGGCTAAATACAGGAATATGTACTATCCTAGGAGCTGGAGACAGAGATTGTGCCCAAAGAGAACCTGAACAACTCCAAACTGTTAAGAGCTAATTCTAGATTTAAACACATCTAGATGGATCTGCTATGTCAGGGGTCGATTGTATAACTGGGAGTTCTCTAGATGAACTTCCATGTATATCACGGTGTTTTCTAAAGGATAGGTAATACAAATATGCTCATTTGAAGCTTATATTGTAAGAAAGCTCATCAGTAACCACAACAATGTAGAACCGGGGTCTATAAGAGCTTTTTCAGAGAGGAGTGCTTTATTACTGACATTTGTTAGAATTGCTGGAACATGGTGGTGATAAAATGGAGACCGATTTTTAGTAGGTTTTGTCTTAAAATTCTCTACAGATGATACCCTCTTATTGCTTGCAGCTGGAGGGTCAGACCTCTCATGCCATTCCCATCCTTGGCACACTAATGCAATCTTTAAAAGTTCAAAACAAAACAAAACAAAACAAAAACCTTGTATGGGACACACAAAACATATTTCTGGCTCCTGCTCTGAAGTTTAAATTCGGAACTTAAACTCCCTCTTCCCACATCAGTAGCCTCCCACTGACCTGGCTGTCTCTGGGCAGGGCAGGTACTCCAGTCCCTGCAGTGAACAGGTGCAAAGACAGGACTCAATATCCCAGGATAGTTCCGGGGGCAGAGATTTCTTTAATTCAAGTAACTTTTGAGGTTGATAGTTATTAGGGGCAGTTTGGATGAAGTGGGTCGAGAGGAAGGAAACTAGCTTTTTCTGTGTCCTGTTATACCAGAACTGGAGGCCCGCTGCACGAAATTCACGCATGGGTGTGGTTCCTAGGCCTGGCTGGCGATCAAAGCACAAGCATCTGGCGTGGAAGGGCAGGTCCCAGCTAGCTCTGGGGCCTGGGCAGCACCTGGGCCCTCGGGCCTCCGTGTGCCCCCCTCTGCTGAGTCACAGAGCCCGAGTGCCCACACAGAGATGCGGTGGGCACAGCTGGACGTCATGGGCCAGGGTGCAGCGTGGGCCTCTGGGCCGCCTGGCAGTGCTGCACAGGAGCCGGGCAGGCAGCACACTCTCTCCCAGCCGGCCTTGCAGAACGGCTCCTGTGCAAACCCACGGGGAGCCCGACTGGCTCCTACAGTCCCAGGGGCTGTGGCACGGCTCACCCCGAAAAGGCTGTGTGGGTGTGGGGCAGGCTCCTCACGGGCACCTGGCATCTGAGTAGGCGTGCGAGCCCTGGTGTCCCAGGGGAGGGTAACAGGGGGAGTGAGAGCCAAGCTCAGCAGACACCCTGCATTCTCACTGCACCTCTTCCGTCCCCGTCACCCCCACCCCCAGGTAGCCGGCGAGAGGTCACAGAGGGTCACTGATGCCTGCCATGTTCTGCACCACCTCCTGGTGGTCAGTGCACGTCATAGTGAGCAGTCGAACTCCCGGTTGAATGACCACCCGAGGGGGCAATGTGCATATGAGGCTTTTATAAAAGGCTAATACACAAATTGTCCCCTTGGGAGTTCGACCAACCGGGAGTTCAACAGCTCGCTATGATGTATGCTGACCACTAGGTGGCAGCGCGGAACAAAGGCAGCCAGCAACTTGGGAAGGAAGGCCCTGATTGGCCCTGATCACCGGTCAGCCGAGGGACCCTACCTGTGCACAAATTTTGTGCACTGGGCCTCTAGTATAGGATAATAACAATGACAATGGTCATCCTAACATGTTCACCTTGGATCAGCCTTAGGGTGTGGTGAGATGGTACATACCAGGAGACCTCCCAATCCCATTCCACGTTATAGCATGTTCACCCAGAAGCACATTCTCCTCACGAGACTCAGAACTGGAGAGAAAAGTCAGGTACCTGGTGGCAAAGGGAATCTCTGTCATAAAGCCTGGCTTCCTTGTCTTGTGGGTCCTGCCTCATGCCACTTCTGCCCCCCTTGGAGTCTTCATGGGCTCAGCTACACAGTAGCACAGGCCTTCTTCTCTCTTCTCTGGCCAAAGCGGGTAGAGGGCCAAGGGCGAGGGGGGCGTGAGGTGGGGAGCTGCGGAAGTTCAGGAGTTGCTGGGTGGCGCAGGTGCAGGCACTGGGCGGTGTCGGTTCTTTCACTCATCCCTCCCCTCCCCCTTCCTCCCCGGAAACCAGCGACTTTGCCACCACCAGTATTGGGGATGATGAGCTGTGGGGGCCAGGCCGGGGAGGGGTGGGAGTAAGGGGGGCTGCTGCAGCTGTCAGACCAGAAGCCAGGCTAACGCCTAGGCTCAGGCCTGCAGACTTGGCTCCCACATCAATAGCCATGAGCAGCGGTGCCAACTGCACGGATCAGCTAGGGCCTGGTAAGCGGGGCGGGGCAGGGACAGGGGGAGGGGTCACCGGCCCCATGTCCCATCTGCTGGGATCTGGAGGGTTGGGCTGGGCAGTAATACCCACCCCTCTATTCTCTCACATCCACAGGAATTCCCTCCTTCCCCCAGGCCTGGGGATTGTGGGCCCTCTTAGGGGCTGTGACGCTGCTGCTTCTCATCTCGCTGGCTGCACACTTGTTCCGATGCAGTAGTCGCTGGAGAAGGAACCGTTCAGGAGGCGGACAGTGAGTGGGGGAAAACAGAAATGGGATCATTGATCATTTCTCCTTACCAAGAGGTCCCCATTTACCCCCTAAACTTTGTGTTGCAGGTCTGGAGGGTCTGTGGAAGAGGTCCCCCTGTATGGGAACCTGCATTATCTGAAGACAGGTAGGAAACTGGCGGAGGGGAGCGGCACGGAGAACAGGTCCTGGGTGGGTGGGATGAAGGGCTGCAGGAGGAGGAACAAGAAGTGACCAGATTTCTGTTACCTGTCCCAGGACGACTGTCTCAAGAACCAGGGCCAGACCAGCAGGATCCCACACTTGGAGGCCCCACCAGGGTGAGTCAGTTGTTGCTGAGGAAGAGAGGGGAGGAAGTGGGGCGGGGGGGGGG